CCGCCCAGACGTTAAATAGACACACACACACACACACTCCAAACGATCCCTATTTGCTATAAGAAACCTGGATGTGCCAGTCGAGGGTTGCGCCTCTTATTATGACAAGTATCACGTGAGCCCGTGATTCGTGACAGTAGGACGTAGAATTAAAAGATTTGCACAGAGATTTACAGGAATTAAAAAGATCTAAAGGGTTAAGGCCTTAGTTCTTTTGTATTCTTATTTTAGTAGTGTAAATCTAAAAACTTTTATAACTAGATTTATACCGGATTTATAATAATTTTAATCTAAAATAATATTTCCTAGCTAAACACTTATATAAAACTCACGAATCTTGCGAATCTATTTATAAAAGAATTATATACAAAAGTTATTTATATAGTACAAAAGTTATTTATATAGTACAAAAGTATTTGCCTTACAAGCTAAACATGCTCTTAATTAAGATTTACATGTAATTCTTAATTTGCACGCTTGTTTAGATAGCCGTAAAAGTTTTTACTAAAAGAATTATAAATCTGTTATAAATCTAATCACAAATCTTTTTAGATTTGCACTACTAAAAAAACTTTATAAAAGAACTAAAGCCTTAACCCTTTAGTTCTTTTTGATTTTTATAAATCTCTGTGTAAATCTTTCTATTCTCCTATAGTGTCCCCTGCAGTGTCCCCTACAGTGGCCCCTTTCTATAGTATCCCCCTTATAGTATCTCTCCGACAGTATTGTCACGAATCACGTGTTCACGTGATACTTGTCATAATAAAAGGCGCAACCCTCGACAGGCACATTCAGATTTCTTATAGCAAATGGGGATCGCTTAGGGTAGCTAGGCGATCCAAGGATTTCTTCCTTACAGAAGATCATGTGACTAGGGAGTATGAGGAAGTATAAGGGAGGCTTATACTACTCTATACTACCGGAGTATGAGGAAGTATAAGGGAGGCTTATACTACTCTATACTCGGACCATACGCGGGGTATGAAGGTTCTATATAAGACTGGCACGTCTGC